GGACAAAGTTTGTGTTCTCCATTCTTTGAGCACCGGCACCGTTTCAAAAGTACTGGTTTGGCACCGGTATCGGATAAAACCTAAACGATACCATTCCATGACAGCTGGGATAGGCTCCAGCACCCCCCGCGACCCTGAAAAGGATAAGCGGAAGCGAATGGATGGATGGATGGTTACAATTAGGTTATGGTCAGGTTTAGGGTCAGGTATTCATTTTTAATGGTTAAGGTTAGGGCTAGGGAAAGCATTACGTCAATAAAGGTCCTCACTAAGATAGCTAAACGTGTGTGTGTGTGTGTGTGTCTTACTGGAGCAGCCTTCAGGTGTGTCCGGGGACAGGTTCCAGTACAGAGGTTTGCAGGTGTCACAGGCCAGGCCCCCCACGTGGAGACGGCACTCACAGCGGCCCTGAGGGAACCAATCACAGCAAAGTTCAATACACCTGTTTCTCCTTACAAAGCATGCAGGTGCAGCCTACCTGCTTATCAGTCGCTGTTTATAGAGACGTCAGAGTGCAGGTGGAGGTTAGCCTCCTCTGCTCCACCTGACCCTCACAGCACTGCTTTGCTGCAGCCTCAACACACACACACCCTTTCACATCATCTGTGAGCGAGAAGCCAAACACAGGACTCACCAGAGGAGGCGCTACGGTGGTCTGAACAGAGCCGGCAGGATGACAGCTTCCAGCTTTAACGACAGAGAAAAGCCATCACACAGCAGCAAACACTTCATCACAGCACAGAAACAGCTTTAGTGAAGGTTACAATGATCTTATGGCCTCTGACAGTGGACTCATCTCTGTGCTTGTCCTGCTAGACCTCAGTGCAGCGTTCGATACTGTCGTAGGAGGGAATACTTCAAGGACCTCTTAATCCCACTTCTGTAGAGGAGGCAGAGTCTAAGGACAAAGGTGACGACTCTCCATCACTGGGGGCGTGGTCACTGAGGCAGGCAAATAACTGCAGCGCCCCCGGGGGGTGAGCTTCGCCCTGCGAGCCTGAAGGCTCTGGATGTTGTCGGCTGTCCTGGCTGACACGCCTCGACAATGCTGCGTGGAGATCAGGGGCGGTGCCTCAACTGAGGTGTTGTTCCCATCTTTGGGAGGGTGGACAGGAGGTGCACCAGCTACAGGGGGATCACACTCCTCAGCTTCCCTGGTAAAGTCACGGAACACGGTGGTCGTGGAACACCGGACCAGTTCTTTACTCTTTCGAGGATAGTTGAGGGAGCGTGGGAGTTTGTCCCGCCAGTCTGCGCGGGGTGCTTTGGGAGTATGCGGTGTCGGCGGGAATCCTTCAGTTACAGGATCAACCGCAGATGGAAAATTCCACATTTTCAGCTTGGAATCGTGAATTTATATTCTTTTGTGTTTTTGTCACATTTTATTTGATTAAATCAGGAAAAATGTTAAAGTCTGCATGAACCCCAGTCTGCTGCTCACAGGGCGGGGCATCAGCACACACCTGAAGCACAGGTATCACAGTCGGAAACTTGGACTGGTGTGTCTCTTTTCCTTTTTAGAAAACTCATTTACATGAACGTCAGCTGTTAATAAAGACGAGTTACTGAGCACGAGTGGATTCAGAGCTCCGGTCCTCCAGCTGCAGCTGTCAGAGCCAACAGACACACTGCTGGTGTTTACTGTGTGTGTGTGTGTGTGTGTGTGTGTGTGTGTGTGTGTGTGTGTGTGCGTGCGTGTGTGTGTTTACCTTGGCAGGTGGGGAAGCCATAGGCACCGTGTGCACAGCTGTCACACCTGAGTCCCACCACGCTGGGCAGACA